CAGTGCGAATATGGGATAAGTGTGATGCAGATGTCTTTAAAGAGAATAAGGTCGAGTCTAAAGCCATATGATTATAGCATGTAGTATAAAAAAACCAAGCAGACTTACCCGATGTGACAGGCATGGCAAAAGAATAGTTACCAGAATTGGAAGAGCATTGATTGAAGAAGGCTTGAAGGTCATGTAAAGAAAATGAAGACATAGGTGAGTCCTCTATGGTAGAAGTAGTAGCAACAGCAAGACGAGAAGGTTGAGATGCATTTTTGAACTGCTAAGATTTGGCATGATTTTTCCTTGCTAGCTTACAACAATCAGAAATATGATGCTCAGGCTTTTTACAATATCGACATTCCACTGTTGATAGAGAATTTGAAATAGGAGCAGCTGCAACAGTACTAGTTGAAGAGGTTAGAGATGAAGCAATTGGAGAAATGACTACAACTAGATCTGAACAGTGAGATCAGAGAGGTCCCAGATGTCTTTTAAAACCAACTGCGCAATCGCTTGGTCAAGCGTTGGTAGTGGTACCATATGAAGTAGGGAAGCACGAGTATTTTCAAACTCATCTTGAAGAACCATTAGAAACTGAAATAATCGATCTTCATTCCTATAAGTATAGTATTTTTTAGCATCAATAGTAGTATCCTATACCAGTTCAGAAAGAGCCAATTGATCCCAAAGGGAGCACATTTGTCCATAAAAATCTCGTATGGATTGACCAGGTTCTTGCTTTAGGCAATGAAGATTGCTTTTGAGTTGATAACGATGAGCGGGATCTGTTGTGACATATTGTTCTTTCAACATATCCCATATATCTTTAGCAGTCTCGTAATATCCAAATTCCTCGTGAATTAAGGGGAGAGGGGTATTTCTAAGCCAAGTAATGATTTGATGATTTTTGCAATCCCAGTCTTCAAAACGTTCTGAATATTTTGCATCGTCTTCATGGTCCGCTTTGACAGGTTGCATAATGTCACCAGTGAGGATGCGCCACAGCTTTTTTCCTTTGAGAAAGCTACTCATAGCTTGGGACCAAGCAACGTAGTTTGAACCATTCAGCACAGTTTCAAAAGGTCTGGAAACCTCAGAGCGAATCTCACCAGTTGCCATGATGGGATAAGTAATTGATCCGTATAAGACGTAGTGAAACTAGTTGGTAATTGAGGTTTCACTAGTGGGTATAATGAAATGGAAGCAGGGACACGGCTGAGATATTACAGCTCTGATACCATGATAAAGGAAAAACAGAGATGATAGTGGAGAAATAGAGACAAGGGAGAATGAACAATTTGTAAAAAATTGTGTATCAAATTGTTGTTTTTCTGTACAAGGGCATCGGTAAATATATATACAAAAAAAAGAAACAGTGCAAAAGAAAACTATATAAAATCTAGATCTAGTCCATAATTACTGTAATCATGGTTACATCCAATTCTGTGATTATAGTAATCACGGCAAGGCAATGAATATCATATCTTAACACTAATGAATCTTCTTTTATGATTTAAAAAATAAATAAATAAATAAAAAAGTTAGACATTGAATTAATGGTTGTGGACCTACATATTTATGACTGTCGTGGGGTATTATTATTGGTTCCACAGTTTGCTATACAGCAGTAGGTTTTGGTTAATTTGAGTTAGCGTCATGCGTGGAGCTTAGAGGGTTCCTAATTCAAAAGTTTATTTTGCTATGATAGTGTCTTGGCCTTGTAAAAAACTAGCTTCTTACTGATGGACAATATATTTGTGTTGAGGTTAGAAATTTAATTTTATTTTCAAGTTGAAGTATTTGTCACGAAAGATGAAAGCATCCTTAGTGTCCTTCATGGAATAAGAGCAAAATTCTTTTGTCCATTTAATTACTCTTATGATGTTATGACTCCATGCAAATGCAGCAAAACATCATATAAATTAAATGACTTGACTTTTGACCCAAATATGATTTGCATACATTATATCTCACATCACGGGTGGTTTAATTTGATATGAATACATCGTTTGATTTAATTTGATATGGCCGCACCACATTTTGCATTCAATTATGTATATGGATAGTATGATGGAAGCAAAAAGAAGACCAGGGAACACCATATATTACACCAAGGATAATTTAATTTGATATTGGCACACTGTGGGTGATTTAATTTGAATGGGCCACACCACATTTTGCATCCCACTATGTGCATGATAGAAAGAAGATATAGACAGATGAAGTTTATTTGGGGTAGGGCTGTAGACAGATGAAGATTTTTTTTTTTTTTTTGTATAGGTAGAATAGTAGAAAGAAGTTTCATTTAAAATGATTATAATACTATATTATTAATAAAATGAATAAAAAATACTTTAATATATATATATATATATTTCATTTAATGAACAAAATGAATTGAAAATTATTTGTATGAAACTTAAATACAACATTCAAATCAACTTTACTAAAATATAAAATATATACTTTTAGTATATATGAGCATGAATCCATATTTAATCTAATTATAAATGGATTGAGTATGAAAATATTCATTTAATCACTAAAAATAAAAATATTGGTTGTGTTTCAACTAAAAACATGCAGCGTGCATAACCTTGTTTTAATATATAGATATGTATTAATTTACCACTTAATCAATAAAAATTTTCAATATATTGTTTTAAAAATATTCAATAATTTTCAATATATTAACAAAATAAATTCTCTTTTTTTAATTGTTAACTTAATTATTTAATAAACTAATAATCTAACAGAAATTTGGATCTTCACTTACATCACATGAGTTCTCGCTAGTTTATATATATATATTATTTATGATATTTGTATACATTATTTGTATAATATATTATTTATGATATTTATGTGACCTATATATGTAAATGTCATAATACCAAAGTTCGACCTCCGATTTGATCGAGCTTGAACATCTAACCTGTCAACCTATCCCCTTTTTGGTTTTATGTCTAATCTAATTTTCTGAACCTTGTTATTGAATACCCAAATAATTTTGTTTGAATAGTAAAGCCACCTCTATGGGACCTCATGAATAGAGTAAAATGCATGAAAGTTTTATTCATCAATAATACCCTTATTAGCCAAGATATCAGCACATGGGTTACCTTCTCTAAAAGAGTGAGAAAATAACACATGACAGCATTCATCTTCTTGATTTGCTATCATACAGTGCAAACTGCATTCAGCTCGAGCTCTCACCATAAAAGTTATGAAAAAAACAAAAAAAAGCTCCAATAAAATTCCTCAGAACACACCCTTCTCCATTGTTTCCAAGGGTTCCCATTATGGGTGTCAATAGACCGGTTTTGGACTGGACCCCGTTCAGTCCAAAATCAATTTGGACAGACTGGACGGACCAATCTGGTCCAAAATATTTATTAGATTGGACTGGACCTGAATTTGGGTTGAAACCAATCTATATTAAAACAAATTTGAACAAATTAAACAGTAAAGACATTGAAATGGACTGGTCCAAAATATTCATTAGATTAGATTAGACCTGATCCATTTGTAATGGACTCACATTGGACTGGATCGGATTGAATCAAATCCAGTCCAATTGACATCCCTATTAAATATTAATCCCATGACAAACTCTATCCGCATTTATATTTATAAGGAAAAAAAAATGAGGTTGTATCTATCTTACCCATCTAATTTTCTCCTTCTTAGGATGTGATGGAATGKTAAGAATGTCAACCAGAAGAGAGTGCCAAAGTGGAAACTATTATTCCCACCATACGTAAAACTAATCTCCTTATAACCATCTATTAATCTTGAGAATAAAAAGGTGATCTATCACCTTCAATTCAATTATGCGTCTGCAACTTTCTTTCCAAACACAATTTGGTAATTTTACCTAAAATGTCAAATTTGATGTTTCTTAAATATATGCAATTTTCTAAATACAATTTGGTATTTCTATATGATGTGAAAACATATTTCTCACAAATTTGTATTGACGAACTCAAAATGCAAAGAAAGGCAAGCCCACTGTACCATATACCCCCAAGTGTGTCAAACAGATACAATTAAACTGTGTTTGGTTCGACAGAAAATGAGAGTGAAGCAGAAAGTAGAGGAAAAGTTGTGGTTGTGTTTGTTTGCCATGCAATTTCATCAACACTAATACAAATGCATGGGAGTGCAAAAATGAAAAATTTAGTTCACGTTTGCTTTTGGTTTGAGTATTAACTAACTCCACTTTAGGGTTTAGTTTACTTCATCTCAATGCAAATGCAAACAAAATAAAAACAAAAACAAATCAAATTTGCACTCAAATCATTTGGACTCCCATGCTTTTGCACCAATGCAAACAAAATTGCATTGGAAACATACGAGGCCTCTAATGAATTTTACAGAATTTGTCAAGAGTTTTTCCCTCAAATTTTCATCTCCTTATTTTCTATCAAACCCAAAAGGCAAAATAGCCTTTGGAATAGATTGGATAAGCCATCCCTCTCCTCCAGTCAAATGACTCAAATCCCAATTAACAACTCCCCCTGGCCCCTGGTGAAGTGGTGAGTATTTCATTTACTGTTAGGATATCAATCCAAGGCTGATGGGATACACGACGGAATTTTTATTTAGTAAACAAGTTTATGCAACTTTTTGGGGTTCTTCGCCCCACAGACACAGATGTGTAGTAGTCGAACTGATGAAAAGACATCATAGTGAGGACTGTGGACCGAGTATGAGGTATCCTCACATCACAGCTTAAGTTGTTCTGCGTTCTGCCCTGTCCCTCTGCTAACATCGTTACGACTTACACAACAAAACAAACAAGACCCATTTGTTTTCATGCTTCCTCCCCTCTCCTCGATTTGTGTACTTTGATGGGATGTCTGGTTCTGGTAAACCCTCCTCACGGCAAGAGAAGAGATGGGAGGGGAGAGGACCAGAGGAATCAAACTATGCTTTTCTTTTTTTTCTTCTTTTCTCCCTTTTGTCTTTTTGTTCTTCTAACCCCAACCCATGCTGACACTGTCTGAAATCTTCAAATGATCCTTTGGCAAAACACCCGACATTTACAACTCTAGAGAAGGAAACATATGATAAATATACAATAGAAACTCTCTCTCTCTCTCTCTCCCCAACAGAAAGACAGAAAGACTGTCTGCACAGCATATACTGCAAAAGCAACAGAGTGTCTGATTCATGCGCCATTCTGTCATTTAAACAGTAGCTTTTGACTTGGAATTTCAGATACCTGTGAATAATGAAATTCTCGAATATATGGATGGTGAAACAATAATGTCAACAATAAATTTGTAATAGCAAAAGAGGACTTTAACATGGCTCCAAGGTTAACAGAGGAGGAGACACATAGGTTCTATATTAGCTTCTCTATATATAAATAGGCCTGTAAAGAGCTCAGACAGTGCTTGCTCGTCTTTTTAGGCCTTGGACTTTTTGGGTTTTGGGGATTTGGGTGGTTGGTCTCTTGAAATGGGTCTGGGACTCTGGGCTCTCTCATCTCTGGCTTTGATTTCCTTTGCATTGTGGAATTGGGTCCCTTATTTTCTCTCTTTATTCTTTTCTTTTTGGTGGCATTTCCGTCGGCCATGGCCAAAGATGTTCAACCTAGCAAAACCTAGCATACTTGAATGAGAGGGGGTACATGAAGGAGTTTGAATAAGTGAAACGGATAATTTGGCCGCTTCTCAGAGGTTTTCCAGCATTCACCAAGCAATCGTCGTAGGAGAGTCTCTTGAAAATTCTTGGGTTTACTATTCTTGCAGAAGCAAACCAACCACAGTGGAGATGGACATTTGAAGGAAAACAACCAGACACACAGGTGTTGACAATCTGAACAATATACTGAGGGATCCCTGACGTTGAATCTCTGCTCTGTGAGATGCTTATATCTCTGTTTGTACAACTCCCTGATAGAGAAGAAAGTAGAAGCCCAAGAACCATTATCAGAAACAAAAGGGGAAAAAAAAAACAAACACTTGCAAACACTCAACAAAAAGCCAAAGAAAGCAATGTTTCATGAAATTTTATAACTTAAGGGAAGCTGCTGAACTGGAAGCAGGAATGGTATAGAGAAGAGTAATTACCATGTACTAAAAGCTTCCTAGTGTTCGAGTAAGATGGTAATACTAATGCTGTCGATTGGTTGTTGTCTCCATTAACTGTTTGCAGAAGCACCTTTGAAGGACCTAAGAAAAGAAATGAAGAAATTAATGTGTGGATCAACAAAGAGTTTTCTGAGAATTATTTATTGGAAAGAAGGTGCCTGCAATATCAAAAAAAAAACAAGTGAAGTGTGTAGAAATAAATGAGTTGAGTGGGAGTTTTATCATTTCTGTGCAATGAACATAAATTATGGTACCTGAATGTAGTCCAATGTTGCAGACTAGAATGATGAACGCCATTAAGCAGAAGAACATCTGAAAACAGCTCATGATGGGTTGTTTTGTTTTGGTACCAACTATGTTACCAAGAGTCTAGGAGTCTGCTAGTGTGGCTCCTCAACTCCTCGAATGTATCTCTTCCTCTGCCAATTTGATAGTTAAGGCATCAATATACAATGATGAATATTGTTCAACAGAGAATAGCCGAGGAGGGGGCGGGGGATTGAAGGGTTGCAAGTTTGCAACAGATGTACAGGTTTACAGAGTTTGGTGGGTCCTTGCAAAAAAAGTAGCAGAACTAGGACAGAGAGCTAGAGAGAGAGAGGACCACTTACAATTTCATTCTAACAGAGTAACAGTCTTATCCCATTCCCACCACTAGCTTTATTCTTGCTCAGACAGAACTCAAAAGAAAGAAAGCAGCAATTTAATGCATAATAGCAAAAGCTAGTTTTGTTGTGCAACCCATCTCATTCAATCTCCCGTTCAGTCATGTTAGCTATCTCTTTGGGGGAATAAACCACTTTGGCAAGATCCATAAAAGCACCCAGTTATGTTATGGGGCAAGCCTTAGCCTTGTAGCAACAGTATATTTCCTCCACCCTTGAACCTGAAAACTTGTTTCCAGAAGAACAAAGAAACTTCAAACTTCAAACATTGGGTTCCAGTTCAACCCTGACTAAGTTCTTGTTTCACCTACTGATTTCCCTTGCATCTTTTGTACATCATTAATCATTGTAAAGTTACTCCACATTGCATTGCAGAATGGATGGAAAAACTCTATCTCTGATCCACAAATCAGGAAAATTCACTCCTTCCCCAGCAAGGATCCATTTGGGTCTATGAGTTTGGGAGATGGGGCCAAAGTTTAAAACTTAAAAGCAAAGACTCAGGTTTCCAAGTTCAATATTGGTCTCCAAAGTTTAAAATGAGGCAAAGCTTTGAGTGAAAAGAGAAAAGATATTGCTTTTCTTTTTTTGCTTCGCGCACCAAAGATACAAGATGTAGATAAAAGTAAAATTATGAAATAAAATGTGTTCAGAAGAAACAGAATTCCTGTGTGTGTGCATAACATATTTTTTTCCTAATAATAATAATAACTAATAACAGTAACAACCACTATAATTTCTGTACTAGTAGCAGAAAAAAGAAAAAAAAAAAAGCATGATGAGAGTAAAGAAAATAATCTTTAATGGTTACCCACTTGTCTTTTGGGTGTAATGAATCATATGGAGGGTAAACCCAGTTCATCACAGTTACAAATTTCCAAGTGCCTAACTTTTGAAACAATGAGTGATGAACACGGTTTTACTCAGAGTTTGTTAATTGAAGAAACAAGCAAACAAGCAAGCAAGAAGTAGAGAACATAGAATCTGTAAAGCAGGTGTTTAGGCTTCTAATTCCAAGGCCGAAGGGCGGGGGCATGTGATGTAACATCACAGCACTAGTGGTAGCAGCAGTCCGATTAGTGCACAGAACAGAAGACACAATAGAAGCAATTTGGTCAAAAAGTAAAAATCGGTTCTTTCTTTCTACTTTCTAGGTCTCCGTCTCACGCTCTGTCGTACTTGCCTCCCATCTTTGATCTTCCACCTTCCAACACAAAGTGTTTATTTTATTATGTATGTTTAGACTTAAGCTAGTCTTATCTTTCTCTCTCGGTCTCGGTCGGTCCAACTCTGTCTGTGTCTCCTTCGTCAAAGCCAGGATGTTGAAAAAGGACAAGAGACCAGCCATGACTCCGAGCTGTAAAGAACAAGGGGAGGTTTGCAGGGATACAGAAGTGGTAGTACCCTACCAAGCAAAAGGGGAGAACCACAAATAGCAACTTGTAGGAATAGACCCCTATCGTTTCAGAAGGATTTTACCTTAATCCCATTTCATTTCTCTGTCTTCCACCCCCTACTCTGCTACTCCCCTAATCACTGATGCCTTCTTTGCTCATCTCTCTCTCATCCCATTGGTCGGTCCCCAGTCCCCACCACCGCAGCCACTTACACGTCGCACTAGCAAATTGTAGATTTGTATTTTGTAGGAGCTAGTGGTCCTTGGCGAAGCATAATGGTCACGGATCCATTTCTTCGAATGATCGACTCACTATATATTTATTAATTAGGAAAATTCTACTTTAGTATCCTGAATTTTGGGTAGTATCAAGTTAGTACCCGAATTTTTATACTGTCATTCTGGTACTTAAATTTTCAAAAAGTGTTAAATAGGTCTCGTTGTTATTCACTATCAATTATCTGTTGAAAATGTTAAAATTACCCTTCAAAAGAAGACGTTGCTCATTGTCTTCTTGTTTGAGACTGAAGGTGTTTGAGATTCTAGACTAATGAAGTCATTGTCTTCTACCTTTAGATCTGAAACACATTCTTGTCTAATTATTTTTTTGCTTTCATTTATTGATTTCCTCTATCATATTTCATGTTTTTTCTCACTTTTTTTTTGAAGATAACCGATTCAGTCTCACGGTAGAAGATAATGAACAGTGTCTTCTTTTGAAAAGCAGTTTTGATTCGTAAATGCACTTACTTGGATAAGTGTTTTGACGGTTTAGTCTCAAGTTATTTGGGAAATAAAAGAACATGGATAAATGCATTTACTTGAATAAGTGTTTCTTAGGTAAGTAAAAGTGTAAAACGGTCATTGCCTTATTTACTCAAAAAATAAAAAAACATGGATAAATACACTTACCTTAATAAGTAACTTCCCGAAAAGTAAACGGGGCCTTAATGTAATGTTTAAGCATGTAAAAAATGTTATGAAAACTTATCACCAAGTCTCAAGTTTGAATAGTGGAGAAGGCTATCAAGAAAAGAGGTATTTGGAACAAAGTGAAAGCTGCCAAACGGAAAAGAACCAGCTGTTTGAATAGATCAGATTACCCCTGTTTGAATCAGATAATAAGATCTGATCAGAAATAGGATCAGATTTGGATCACCCCTATTTTTTTATAAAAAATATATATATTTATATGATGAAAATAATTAAAAATACTTGTATTTTTTGTTTTTTCTTTATTTAAATTGGTATATTTTATTTTATTTTAATAATTTATTAATTAAAAAAAAACAAATCGGATCGGATCAGATTTGACTTATCGATAGGATTCGAATTCAAACCAAGGCCTATCATATCTTAAGATCAGATTTAGATATATTCTAATTCGAATCCGATCCAACCCGTTTACATCCGTATAAATTGGTAGTTCCCATGACAATGAAAAAAAAGAAAGAAATCCACGTTCGTATTTCAGTATTGATAGGTCCCGTAGAAAATAATAATTTTTGAACTGCTCATTTATCTGTATAACTAATACCTTCTTGAGACTTGAATAAACAACTTTCTTTTCCACGCAAGAAATTGTTTAATGCAATAAGATAAACAACTGTCCCTTCAATAATGACCGTTTTATGGATAAAATTATCAGTATATAACTAACTTACCATGGCTTGATTACTCTTCCAATGGTACACATAACACAGCCCCTTTGAGGGTTTATCCATCACTTTCCCTATTTCCATCTATCCCTCCTCAGACTTCCGTAGTCAATCGTAATCATCATATCCACTCACCTACAATTTGGATTTTTGTTACAGAGTCGGGACTCAAGGAGAGAAAGTTTCTTAGAACAATAGAAAAGAAATCAGATGAGAGGTTCTTTCTTTATGTTTTTGGTTAGAATAGGGGATATCATCAGAGAGTGTGAACCGTGAAACAGAAGATAGATGAACCATACAAGTCAAATCTATAAGCAAGGACATGGTTATGAAAAAGAGAATAGTTGTTAAATTATTTGCCTGAATCGAAACGGTTACAAAGTCTTCTGTTCTTTCCTTCATTTGGAACTTGCTGCACCAGAACCAAGTATGAGGAGAGAGATGCTTACGTTTCTGTATGCCTATAGCTTTTCCTTTCGATCGTTCTTTCTCTGGGAAAATTGGGGGATGGGACCTATCAATCCACAGCTTTATGATTAGGAGCGGAAAAAAGAAACAAACAAAAAACATAAAAGCTTTTTATTAGTTTCAAATATGAGATTATTGTTCTTGGCTTGTATTCTGGACATAGAAACCTATGTATATGGTTTCGAGCCTAAATTTCTTGGGGAGAGAGAGAGAGAGAGAGAGGAACCCCAGTTGTGCAAATAATGTAAATGAGATGCTTTGTGTGGTGTAACCATCCATGTGAGAGAAGCACAGATGTATAATTAAGATGGCTGGAGGTCTATTCAGAATGAGGAAGCATGCTGCAGCTAGCTCTATATTTGTGCCCTCCCTATCTACATCTTAAAATGGGGTGCCTACAAATCCTAACTAGGCTAGGTTTCATAGAATTCTATTACCATACCTAAATGATGAGTGTCCATGATATCTAAATCCGATCCAACTCTGTAATATTCTTCAGGTTCAAGGCATATATGATGAGCTTAAGGCAATGTTCGTAATCAATTGCCCTTGTTATACTTGGTGGAAGCAATTATCTATGTACGACATACAGGAAAATGTTGGATGAAGATAAGGCGCAAGAGATTCTTGAGGCTCAACTGCTTAAGAGTGTGGGCTTTGTGGCCCATGGACAATGGACCTCCCACAACTGCATCTACTGCTTGCCACGCTGTGTGTAACATGCTTACTTAATATATCACCACTATTAGGGATGACCATGGGCTGGGTTTTTATAGGGTATCAATAGTATTAAGGCCTGTGGGCCTGTCCTGGCTTACCCAGACCGGGTTTCTCCAGACATTGCAGGCTTAATTTTTTGGTCCGAGCCCAGCCCACATTGCAGGCTGGGTTGGGCTTGGCAGAAATATGGCTACCAAGTCTGGAAATTTGGGGGCCAGGTCGGACATCATAAATGGTCATCACTATTTTGTATACATGGAATCCACCTTTATGTGTATGGAACACTGGTGGGTTCATTGGTTATGTAGCTTTTTACACACAGTGTGGCAAGCAGTCGATCATGAGGGTCAGTTTGGAAAGAGTATAAATACAAATATGGTACCAAGCCTTGTAATTTATATTATTTTGTATGTATTTGTACTATACATATTTGCATTTATACTCTACAATCTATTTTGTATGTATTTAGCTGTCTTAGTTGTTTCAAAGGACTGATTTTGGGTTGGACCAATAAGACATATTAAATCGGATCAATCCAGACTTAATATTAATTGGATTGGATTGGACCTGGTCCATCCATAATAGATTTATATTGGATTGGGTCGGATTGAACCAATATCCAGTCCATTGGTAAAAAATAAAAATACAGGTGTCGATAGTCCAGATATTGAATTGGACTGGTCCAAATGGTCTAGAGTATTCATTGGATTGGATTGGACCTGGTTATTCGTGATGGATTCATATCGAATCGGACCAGCTCCATTCCAACTGACACCCCGCTGTCTGGAATAAATACCCCAGGCTGTTTGAAAGCTTTTTGCACATGACACGTGACCAATGTATATGGGGTATTTGGCTGCGTTTGTTTAAGGTGCAAAATCGAACCGGGGTCAACTTTACACCCCGGTTTGATTTTGCAGGCGTTTGGATAGAGTGTATATTTATACCTTAAATCGGTACAAAATTCCATTCTGAAATCCTTTTACATCGAAATTATCGATGTAAAACTTAGTCGTTTCTACCATCGAAGTAAAACTCCTCACTCTAATGTCTCTCTTCTCCATTTTTCCGTTTGCTCTATCTTTCGCCAATGTTGCTACTTCTCTGTGGAATATACGGTACAAGATTCTACTCTCTCTCTCTCCCAAACCAGTTAATAGAAAAAGGTCGGAGAAGCAGTACCAAAGTCGGATTGGAAAAATCTGAACCAGGCAAATCCCTCAAATTGTTGCTCCTTTGTCTTCTCAACAATCCATTCATTGCCGGATTCAGTGGAAGAAAACTCCAGATTCATGCCCTCCTCGGACCAGAAAGACGATTGTAGTGTCAAACTCTTCCGAACCAGTGAACAAAAAAAAGTGAGAGAAAAAAAAATCTCAACTTTTACTTATTCTCTCCTCTATTTTCTCCTTGCCTCCTCTGTTTTTTGCCTTCTCTCCCACTCTGCTTTTATTCTCTTTCTTTTTTGCTCTAATCTTGTCTTTTTTGGTTCTTCACTCCTCGCGAAACCCACTCTGAAGCTGCATATACGGTTAGGATCATCTGCCCACCACTGACTTAATCTGGAATGTTGGATTTACAATCAATCACACGGTTGTTATCGGCTAGTATCAACATTGCAAAAGAATCTGTCGTTGGATGTACTAGACAATAAAGAGCTTAGCCCTTTTAGACATAACTGCCACATGTCAAATTCCATCTCCCTTTTCCTCCACTCCACGCTTATTCATTTTACTCTCTCCCCCTCCTCAATATATCGATATTCAATAGCTCTCTTGACGATGCCGATAACA